TCGTATCTATATTAATATATATTAAATATATTATACAAATATATCAGTTCATAAATTAATTATTGATTAATTTAATCTTAAAAAGAAAATTATTTAAAGTAAATTAAAGTAAAATTATTTCAAATCATATATAATAATTTATTGCTTCTTCTACAACACAAAAGTTGCAATAGCAAATTACAACATTGCAGCAATATCCCTATAAGCGCATAATATTTGATATTAAGTAATTTTAGACATATTCTTAAAATATTAAATGCAACATTTTAAGAATATTGTACTAAAATGATATAATATTAAATAATATTCCCGAAATATTAATGGAAGGTTATATGTTCACTCCTGATAATATTACATGATTATTAAAAATAACATTATTTAATGATATTGTAATATTATATAAACATTAAACATTAAAAAGTATTATAACAAAATTTACTTCAATTTGTAAAACTGTTACAACTGTTTAGTATACATTTAAAAACTGAAAATAATTTTGGCGCGCAATTGAATAGAACTGAATATATACTTAAAATCATGCGAAAATGTTTTTTTAGCACAAAATGCAACATAAACTAATAAGAACTTTTCGTTACTGGATTGTGAATTCAAATTATATTAAATTAAGAATATTTATAATATTTTAATAATATTTCAAAGATAATAAGATATAATACTTAGGATATTATATAAGTAGACATATAACCTCTATAGAATACTCTCATTAAAAAATATATGGTATTTTCAAAATATAATAACTTATTTTAATTTTTTAATAATAACCATATAATATTCTAGGAATATTTTGCGCTTATAGGGATTGCATGTTGCAGCAATATTACAGCGCGTTATCGCAATGATATTGTTGCACTAACATTCTGTACCAAACAACAAAAAAAATAAAAATTTCTGTCCATGTTGTAACAAAATACTAGAGATATTACTTATTTTCTCAAGTTAATATTGATTAAATTAATCGGAGTCGAAGTTATCTATAATCTCTGATGTCACTCACTCAACTACTACTATAGTTACTACCTGCCGGCAATTGTAGCAATCTAGCAAACTTCACGACGTTCCACGTGACATATGGGCGCGGAAATCGATCTTTTGATTTGTAAAAAAGTTCGATCGGGGTCGTCGAGAGCGCGTTTTATCGAGACGCGATTACATTTACTAATATAATGGGCATCTAATCAATAGAGAAAAAGGACGAAAGAAATGGCTCTTTATGACAATCAACATTGGCTCCTGTCGCACATCAGAGACAGTTTTCTCGCGACGGACGACACAGGTATATACTTCTAAAAAAGTTAGGTTAGAATCATCGGCGTTTTCCGAGACATTACTCCGATTCAGAAATATTCTGAAATAATATTTCCAATGTCGATGATTCATGCTTATTGTAAGATAAATTAAATTAAAATTAATTGTTCATATATTAATGTGACTCAGTAAATAAGCCAAATGTTTTAATAAATAGTATTTATTTATGTTCTATATTACAATTAATTTATTTTGAATTCTAATTTTTGCTGTATATGTCTTATATTATTCTCGAGCTTCTGATATACATTGTCAGTACTGCAAACCTATAATTTATGTATACCATATATTTTCATATTGACAATAATATATATCAGAACACAATTTTGATTGAAAGGTATGTGTGACATGGTGATACTAGGAGAGGATATTCCTAAGCAGTTGAAGAAAAATGGTACCTTGCAATGTTATCCTGGTATGGAAGAAAGTGATGACGAGGATTTAGATGTGATGGCAGAATCATATGATATACAAATGGGTACATACTTCTGTTTTCTATTATTTTATGTAAGAGTATCATGTAAAATCCAAATTGGAATTAATTCAGTTAGAGTCTATAAAATAATTTTTATAATATAATTTGTTATAATTAAAATTAAATTAAAGTATAATTATTTCTATTGAATTGCTTAATTATTATGCATCGTTCTAGAAATGCCATTCAGTCATAGACAGAGATCTAATACTGCACAAAGATTAGAGAAAATGGATATAGAAAGGAAAAAGGCTGCCAAAATCAAGCATGTTAAATGGGAACACAATCTTAGTGCTGTGACACCTGCAGATCAATCAGATCTATTTCAAAGAAAAGATTTTCGTAGGAAAACTCCACTTAAAAAAGGACAATCTCTTTTATCGGAACAACTTGAAAAATGTCCATATTTACCACCAAACCCATTTAAAGAATATATCAAATTTGATGGCGACGTATGTATCCGTTTTCCGTTTCTCAAAAAGTTTATTTCCAAAAAAAATCTCTTAAAAGATGAAAATTATATATTACAAGATTAGATTTAGCAAAAAAAAAATGGAGATTATGTATTATAAAATTATTCTTATGAGCTTCATTCTTGAAAAACATGATTATAATATTAAAAAAAAATTCTTTACGCAGACACAAGTGAGCGTTCCTGTGAGAAAGTACAGGATATTCATGTGTATGTTGCCGAAAGAGGACAGGACGTATCCGCTTCAAGCAGCTGTGATAGTAACAGCACGAGTGTTGGACTTCATTGGGTTGATTTGCTACAAATATGCAATTGAACATCCCGACCATAATTTGAAGTCTGTAACAAGTTACTTTATTGCTAGAACGTATATTTATTTATAAAGTCTCCGTTGGCCGTTACTTCCAGGGAGGACATTTCACATTATGGATTGTACATCACTGAGGATGACGGTGAGATAGACTGGGCCTTTCCTTGTTTAGACCCACACGAAACTATCTCTAAGTTCGAATTCACTACACTGGGCTTGATCGAAATGAAACCAAGTGATAAAGCACGATACAACACAATAAGTTGCATTGAGAAAAAAGATGAAGAAATCCTGGATGGTAAAGATAAAGAGCAAGAGGAAGTTGCAAAGGACTTGGCCAAGATGGAAGGTCATACTACTGCGATGGAGGCGCCATTGTATCAGTCATATAGGTATTTCCTTAATATATTACATATCAAGTTACATTATCATATCAAGTTTTTTATGAAATAATTGTTATTGATACATTGAAATAACAATTAGCAAATAATACGTAAATAATATGTAAATAAAACTATAGAAAAGTGATGAAAATTAAAGAGAAGTACAGTGTTGAAAACATATATAATAATTAAATTGTAATAAAGCGAGAGAATAATATAAGATTCATAATTGTCGAGATGTGTGTGTTCAGATTGTATAAGAATATTCATAATAAGAATATTCTCTAAAAATTACAGAGTATATATAATTAACAAAATGCGAGCAAAAACTGAGATTCATCTTGGAATATCGGGCGAAAAGATAGAGATAGATCCAGTTATAACAGGCAAGGGTGCTGCCAGATTTTGGAATAGACAACGGGCAGTCAGTTATCACATAGACAACATCGCATGGTGCGAAGTGACTGAGATTAAAGGATCGAAAACTATATTTACGCTGGTTTATACCCCGCAATCCAGCGCTCCAGATAATATTCTGAGTCAGTTATTTTCTTTTTATATAATTACATATTGATCATTTCACTTTATGATAAAAATTAATATTTCATAAACCGACGTTTTAAATTTACTGATGGTACTATAGGTCAAAGTCATTCGCTTCATCAATCAGCATCTTTCAAGAATCATGATTTCGAGGCGGATTCACTGACAGCTGAAGAGATTGTACGAAAAATTAATCACATCCTGGAACTACATAGCAGTCAGTCAAGGAAGGAATATCTCGCACAAAAGGAGAGGAAAGCAGCAAGAAGAAAGAGCTTCCATCTGCATAGATGACAACTCTATTGGTTATTCCGTACAATCTTAGATTATTTAAAGCATTGAATATTAGTATATCATAAAATGTGATCATAAAAGTTACTCTAAGAAATATCTTTTCATACAACCGAGTTAATATCTCGAATTTCATTGACGTGCCAGAAATGGCAGGAGAGAGAGAGAGAGAGAGAGAGAGAGAGAGAGAGAGAGAAAGAGAAGTAGAGGTCTTCTCCATATTTCATAGATATAAAGTTTAATGCTGTACAATATT